AGTGTGTGTGTGTGTGTGTCAGTGTGTGTGTGTGTGTGTGTGTGTGTGTGTGTGTGAGTGTGTGAGAGAGTATGTGTGTGTGTGTGAGTGTGTGTGAGTGTGTGTGTGTGAGTGCGTGAGTACCTCTCCAGCTGAGTCACAGTCAGGTCTGCAGGTGCTGTCCCCGCTCTCTTCTGTCTCACGACTGCTGAGGCCACGTCTCGTTTCACAAACACACCTGAGAAGAGACACATGAGTACACACCTGCATGTATTCTGGTTTCAATCTGGTTTTAGAGCTCTGCATAGCACTGAAGCTGTGTCTCATTTAGAAGGCTGTGCCCTCCGGAGGTTGCATTCGAAGGCTGCATTCGTCATTGTGGCTGTCTCATTTCAGAAAAGCAAGTAGGACACTCCGAATGCGACCTTCGAATGCGACCTTCTTTCACAGGAAATCGGAGGATGCATGAGGTGTATCCTTCGCTGCTACAGATAACCCACAATTATTTGCATCGCCGTAAACAACCGTTGTTAATTTGAAAAATGCGGGCACCGGCAGATGTACACACAAGCGCAGATGTGGTGTTTACAACTTACCTTAATTCGCCTCGGTAAAAACGGATAAACTTTGTTTTTAATATCCTCCTCCTTTTTTTCTCGAACAGATGTCTGCTGTACATACGCTGCAGCTCCTCAAACATTGAACAAAATAAAGCATTTTTTTTTTCAAATTACTTTCCAAATTTAGAAATAATTTTCTTTAATTTAAGTAGTGTGAGAGCTCAACGATGCTCTAAATGTGTTGGCATGACAACGTGATACTTCCTGTTTCCTTTCCGCCTGTCCTACGAAGGCCGTGTCCTTTAATTCTAGGTTGAGGACACTTCGTATATGCATCCTACAGAGGATTCGACCTCCGGAGGGCGCAGGCTTCTAAATGAGACACAGCTAGAGTCAGCATTGCTGAAGGTTACAAATGACATTCTGCTGTCCATCTGCTATCCTGATACTTTTAGATTTGAGTGCCGCATTTGATACTGTCGACCACGATATTCTTCTGAAACGACTTGAGCGTGTTGTTGGGGTTCAGGGCCTAGCTTTAGAGTGGCTCGCCTCATACTTATAGGGGAGGACTTTATCTGTAAACATCGGGTCATTTACTTCACCCCCTATACCTATCCATTGTGGTGTTCCTCAGGGATCCATTCTTGGCCCTCTTTTGTTTTCCTTCTACATGCTCCCTTTGGCCTCAAAGAGTAGAGAGTAGCTTTTTAGATCAGTGACAAGGTGAAACACTTTCTTTCTAGTAAAGACTTTGAAATTGTAACCCATGCACTAATTTCCTCTCGATTGGATTACTGTAACACGTTGTACATTATTTTTGATAATTGTTTTATTTTCCTTTGTCTTTTTTTCTCTTTCCTTTTCTCTTTTAAATTCAGATTTATTTTTATTGTAAAGCTCTTTGAAACAACTATGGTTGAGATAAACTTTTGCTCTATAAATAAAATTTGCCTTGCCTATTCAGATGAAGAGGCTCTCTCTCTATTTGTGTGAATTCCTTCTTCTGCGGCCAGAGAAGCTCTTTAGCGTAACGGACCATACAATCATCCTTATGAAATAAAAGGAACTGATAGAAACTCACCCTCCGTCATACTCATTCCCTCATATATCTTTGCAATCAATCATTCATGTAATGATGATATTTCTGACTCTACTTGAAGGGAAAATCTCTTCCTGCAAAGTTCAGCTCTAAACAAACACACCTGAAGCAGCTGAATGAGACCTTCAGGAACGGCTGATAATTACAGACCAGCAGAAACACTGAAAGACTTCAGGACTGAATCACCACAGATCAGCACAAGCCCTTGAACAACACTGTATTTACTTTACCTTGACACACACACACACACACACACACACACGTGTCTCACCATCATCACTGGGAGATTCTGCAGGACTCACTGATTTAGTGTCAGGAAGACCTACAAGAGAAGAACACAGAGAACAATCATACACACATATACACTACACACACACACACACACACACACACACACACACACACACACA